ACATCTATTTTAATTTTTTATGTCAACTCTAATGAGTTTGAGTAAAACAAAATTCTGATTTTACTACATTTTTTTCAGGTCATCTTATACTTAACATTCTTCCAGTTTTCCATGTTTATATTAAAGTTTTAGATTCCATCACTATATGTAGTACTTTTACAGAGTATTAGCCCAAGAGGAGGAACTTTTAAATTAATCCTATATCAGCTTTCTGGAATTATTTTATGAAACAACTGGACAGTATTCCAGCAAGCTTTCCTTATAACAGTAAGGTTGTTTGAACTACTCATTGTCCTGATGATTGGTATAAGAAATGACAAAGTAGATGATTCTTTAGCATTAGTGTGTTTGTGTGTGTGTGCGGTATATTTAGTTTTGTTTTTTTCTAAGCTAGTTTAAAAGCATTTTATGCCCAAATCTGTTTGCTTTTAAAATTGATTTTTGGAATAATGTTTAATTCATTAGAAGAGTTACTCTGTTGTTTTGTATTATCCATTTAAGAAATTGCACTGTAGTCATTGCTTAGGTCTTAGTTTTGTATTGTGTCTTTTCTTTTCTAGTGACATTAGTGGTGTCAGCAAGGGTGATCGAATACCCAGACAAGCTTTCTGTGGAACATATCCACCTCAAAATTTATCTTTTGACTCTTATTCTGTGGTTATAAGTCCTTTGGGATGTCAATGTGTTACATGAAAAAGAATTCCAGGGTCAAATAATTTTGCCATATGTTGGGTTATTCAAGGTTTTAATGGGTTTCTTTACTGGGGGGCTTCTCAGCACTCTTAATATACTAATGTCAGTTATTAGTATTTTGGATGGACCATGGCACAATGTCTGCAGAACTTATTTAAACACAGGACACTCATTTCTATGACTGCTAGTCCCCAGAATATACTTGGAAAATGCTGGTAATTTGATGCAGTTGGTATTTGTATGATCTGTTGTGAAGGAAGTAGTATGTATAACCTTTATTTATGAATGGCATTCAGGGTTTTTTTTTAAAGTATTATTAACTATAGCACTTGGGACAAATGTTTCACAGATCCTTTAAGAGATGAGAGCTTTAAGATTTCAGGTATAGTTTCTCTACTGCTTCTTCAGCTTTTCTCTAAAATAAAATCCACCCATGTGCTTAGTGTTAAAATGTATCTTAGACTAGTGATAAGATCTCTTGGTGATTCCCCAAAATCTTCATTCCAAGCTGGCTTCTACTGAGCTCCCAACGAATATTTTTAAGTTCCTGTGCTGACAGTATCACTTGCACGGGAACTGAACTTAGTTAAAACTGAGCCTGGTGTCTCCCCCTCTAACCTCCGGTCCCTAACTTTACTTTCTGTCTCCCATCCTGGCTAGTGGCGCTGTCTTCTTTTCAGTCCCCCAAAGCAGAAACCCAGGAGACTCAGATTTCTCCTTCATCTCCTGCACTAGGATTTCTTAACCTTGGCACTATTGATATTTTGACCGGATAATTCTTTATTGAGCAGGGCTGTCCTGTGCATTGTAGATGCTTAGCAACATCCCTGGCTTCTATTTGTTAGGTGCTAATAGCAGTTTCCCTCAGTTCTGACAGCCAAAAAATGTCTCCAGATGTTTTGAAACATCCTCTGGGGGATGAAATCACCCCTATTTGACAGCCATTGTTCCGTATCCAATCTGTTATTTGTATTGACTCTACTTTCTAAATTTACCTCGAATCCTCCACACATCTTTATCCCACTCCTACCTCCTATCCTCTATTTTTTTAATGGTTGGGATTCTCTTGTAAGGTTCTAACCGGCCTGCCTTTGTACAATTACTTCTCTCCAATCCACCCTCTTCAGTGATGCCAAATTAATCTTTCTAAAATGCAAAGCTGTTCCGTATCTACATCTTTCAGCGGCTTCCAGCCAGGACCCTCCTGAGCTGGCTTCTCTCTTTGTATTTAGCCTCGTTCTTCAAAGACACTCATACCCACTACAGTTCTTGCTACACACACCAGTGTACTGATCCTTCTTACCGCTGTGCTATGCTTTGTTTCAGACTCTTAGCCATCATTTCTCCATGGTAGCCCTCAGTCACTTTAAGATATTATCATGGTGAAGAGCATTTTATTTTTAAAAATATCTGTCTTCCCTTACCAAATTGAATTTTTCAAGGATGGGGGACCATCTTTCAGTCTTTGGCATGTAGTAGATACTCAACAAAAGTTTGGGTTATTTATTAGTGTGCCCTGAGAAATGTAATAACATCCTCATTCCCCTTATCACTAGTGAAATTATATATTTTTTGTCATTATTATCCAGACTTTGATGGGTAAGTTTTTGACCACAGATAACTCGAACTATAAATTTCTCTAAGAAATCAGCTGTTTAGAAGAGAATTGAAGAAAGCGGTGTATTTAGTTGATATCAAATATCATTTCCTTGTAAAATAGCTAGTTTACTCTAAAGATTTTTATTCAGAATGGAATTACATTGTGTGGATTAATTGTGTAGATTAATTAAATAGAGTGAATTAATGTGATGTGGGAATTAGTTGCTAAACTCAAAACACTCACTGCATTTCCATTAAATAAGGATTTGATGATTGCAAAAGCAATATTATTGTGTTAACAGCTATTTTAGTTTTTTAGAAAATATATCTTTTAGAACACATTTCTACAATTACCAGACTGCACCATTTAGAAATTCACACCTGTCAAATGAAAAAAAAATTTTTATCAAGTCATTAAAGACTAGAGTGTCCCATTTCTCCTTCCTTACATGCCTTAATACATACAGTTTTGTGTGAATAGATTTCCCATTGAATTGAAATTAATCAGACTCAGTTGACCAACTACACTTATACCTAGAACTTTATTTTTTTAAGACTTTATTTATTTTTAGAGAGAAGGGAAGGGGGGGGGAGAGAGAGAGAGAAACATCAGTGTGTGTTTGCTTCTTATGTACCCACCACAGGGAACCTGGCCTGCAACCCAGGCATGTGCCCTAACTGGGACTCGAACTGGTGACCCTTTGGTTCATAGGCCTACACTCAGTCCACTGAGCCACACCAGCCAGGGCCTTAGGACTATAATTAAAAGACGAAAAAAGATAACTAGAGGTTTCATCACTTTTGGAAGGTAACTCAAGTGTAGCACAACATAACTGAAAGTCAAGGATTGAGGATGGGGAAAGAAGGAATGAATACAACCTATTCCCAGTTCAGAAGAATTTTTTATTCTTTCACAGTGCCTTGCTGGATTGTTAATATTTGTTATAGAGAATCCGTATAAGATGGCATTTAAGCCAAAAATTATGACTTTCCGTCACTTTCCAGGGAGTGGCATTAAAATATATCACTTTCTTTCTAAAGAGATTTTTTAAATGAGAAAAGTTGTTATGGAGGCTTCCAGAAATAGAACTGGGAAGAGCCAGGCTACCTGCAGAGAAGGCATCCTGTCCCCCCACCTCCCCCACACCGCCCCTCATAGCAGCTCTCCAAGGACTGGTGTGGACCACGGGAGGCATGCTGACCAGGGAAACCAGCTTGTCAAAGACCCAGACTAGCCTTGCCTGTTTTCTAAGTTCTCTTTTTTTTCATACTTTCCGTTAAAATAAAATTTTTTTAAATTAAATTTTAAATATGAAATAATACCAAGGTTTTCTTGACCTTAAGCTGCTTTAGGAAAGAAAGGTGTTGTGTTACTTGGGCTTTTTTTAAAAGCCTGGAACTGCTGTTTTTGAAAGAAATTTTATTCAGAACTTGGAGAATTTTGCATTATAATGCTTCTATTATGTACAGATAATCTCATACTTGTTTTTGAGACTGTAAAATATAATCTCTTATGATCCTATTTTAAGTATATGTATTTTAATGGTTTGGGTTCTTGAAATTGTAATTTTTAAAATTTCTATGGTGTATCTTGAAGACCCTACTTCCTTTTAGTGAAAGATACTGTTGTAGTGAGCTATTTTGTTTTCCATACGCTTTTCAATATAATAGACACCGTATTGTTGTAACTTTCTCAGTAATGTAAGTTATTTACCTATTACCAGAATAATGTGGTTTTAAATGAGTAAAACTTTAAAGTTTTAAATGAGTGAAAATGAGTGAGAGTCAAATAGAAGATTTCTATTTTAACAGGGTCAATTATCATTATTCACAATAATTATTTTCTTATTTATTTATTTATTGTTATCCTGTTACACTTGTCTCAGTTTCCCCCATTCCCCTTGCCTTCTCAGCCCATTTACTTTCTTACAAAGGCACCACAAACACTGAATTAGCGAATTTTGAGCCATCGCTCCCAGGGGAATACAGAGTTACTGTCCTGCAAACCTCTGGTCGTAGCATTTTCATCGACCAATCAATACATAAGCTTATTTTATGTGTGTTTCTGTTTAAAGGCATTTTATTTAATATATATTACTGATTCATTACCATTGAACTCCAACAGAACTGTGACTCCTGCTTGAGCAAAGCTTATGTAACACAGATTTACTCCATAAGGCACAGCGCATCCTTCTCGCCCCAGAAATGGACAGCACTTCCGCACTGTGCTTGGGGGTCATTGGAAACAGTGAAAGCACCAGCCAAACGTGCAGAAATGCAAAACCTGTGACACCAACTAGATTGCGTTAAAAGGGCTCTGCGTTAGGATATGAGAGCTGAAAGAGAAAGGCTGAGTGTTGCCTTCATCCACCACAGATGGAAACATGCGCTTCATACGACACGCATTTCTCCATTACAAAAGACTAAGAAAGTACCTCATGTATTGCTTTTAGAGTTACAAATACATTTTATTTGGCAGGCACATTCACAAATACAGAATGTTCAAATCATGAGGACTGACTGTAATTGTTTTAAAGAAGCTTATGATTAAATACTTAGAATATTCAAATTTTAAGGACTGTTTATCTTGCCTTCAGAATGAGGGGTATTTTTGGTTAAGGGGAGACATCCTACAGTTTTCATGTTCTGTTGTCCCATGGAATAAAATTGGCTGCCTTTAGTCTGTAATTCTCTTTTCACCCCCACAGGGAACAACCCATCTTCAGCACTCGTGCTCACGTCTTCCAGATTGACCCAAACACGAAGAAGAACTGGGTACCCACCAGCAAGCATGCAGTGACTGTGTCTTACTTTTATGACAGCACAAGAAATGTGTATAGGATAATCAGTTTAGATGGCTCAAAGGTAAGTTACATTTACTTTAATGTTGCTGTTTTGCTTTATAAAGTATAGCATTTCAGTTTTAGAGGTACTTGATCTTCATTAAAATATTCCTTTTGAGTTTTTAAAACTTAATTTTAAAAAGAAATAAAATTGATCATTTTTGAGCAATCTTTTTTGTTTACTAAATTACTTAGACTAAGCTACCTATTTATATTGTTACATGTCAGAACATCCTACAAATTTGAGGTCAGTTTATTTGATAAATATTCATTGCTTATCTGTTATACATCAAGCAGTATGCTAGGTGCTAGGAATATAGTGTAAGCACAGTGGACAGTTTCTACTCTTGGAGCATGCAGTCAAGTGAGCACTAGAATTCTCTACATAGAAACTTAGGTAGACTAGTGTGCAGTTTGAGATCCTAAATCATATGAAGTCCATCAACGTCCATACTGAAGCTTACCCTGAGCATCCCTTATTCTGAAGAGAAGTGTATGAACAGGACCTACATTTTTATTTTTAGGAGAGGCAGGTAGTCTAATGTTTAAGAGCATGAGCCACCTGGATTCACATCTCAGCTCTGCCATCTACTAAGTTTTTGACTTTGGGCAAGTTACTGTACTTCTCTGAGCATCACCGGTCTCATCTCAGTCCTGTAGTTGTAAGGAATAAATTAGTGTATCTGTAAAAACACTTAGATTGGTGCCTGATAAATAGTATACCTTTCAAAAGGGGGGAAATTCTACTTTTTCATCAGTGAATTTCGAACAGCACAGGCAGATAAAGGAATACCAAACATCAGATTCTGGATGTAAAATGTGTAGAAAAATGAAGGCTCTGTTCTTTTTCCTTAAGCTTTTATGAAGCCATAAGGCCTTTCTAGCCCCAGAAATTTTAGCAGTTCAGTGAAGGCACTGAGAGCACAGACTGTATGGTCAGCCTGTCTGGTTTGAATTTTTGCTTTACTACTTAGTAGACATGAGACCTAGAGCAAGATATTTAATGTCTTGGTTTTCTTGTCTGTGAAAAGGAACTAATACACTACTTCCATCATTATATCATGGGATTGTTGTGAAGATTAAATAAATTAACTTAGGCAAAACACTTCAAGGGTCTATAATAATCACTATACAAATACCTAACTATTGTTGTTATCATTATTAATATTAGCCTATTAATTATGTATGATAGCAGTTTGGCAGAATAAAAAAGAATTTAATTTAGTGCTTAACTTTCATTTTTTTCCATGTGCTCATTTCTTATCTCCTTAACTAGATTATAGGACCCAAGAGCCTATTTGTACTTGGTCTGGTACATTAGTGACTAATATGTATTTATTTGGATAATTAATCCTATTTTAATTTTTATTTGTAGGATTTAAAAGACTTGGGAAATGGTAATAGTTAATTTCTGAGAAGGTGTTTAATGAGGAATGTTTTTTTGTACTTTGTAACTATTTAGTGAAATTAAAAGATATTAATTATTATTAATTCAGATGCCAGAGTGGTTTATTTCTTTTCTCTGATTCAAGCCTTCATTTCTCTATAACATGTGTTTCTCTTTTGGCCCAAACCACAATGTCATTTTATTAGACAGGCGAGTTAAATGGTATACAGAGTAAAGTTCAACTGCAGTAGCCACATGTGATTAGATAATCCTCTGTTCTTCCTTCTGAAGCAGTGTGAACTATTGCTTCTGGCATTTCCCGTTTTTGAATATACTATGCAACTTGTAATTATTAGGCCCTTAAGTAACTCTTGTGAAAAAAATTTTGTTTCTTTTAATAAATCTGCTCTCTATAGCAGTTATAATTTTCTATCACATTTTCCATTTTCTAGTTACTTTTCTAAGCTGATGCTGTTAACTACTGCAGTTTCCTGCAGGAGATGTTTTCTTAATAAGCAATAGTGGTTTATTTGATGAGGCTAAACAAGTGTTTTTCTTCTTAATCACACTGTCTTCTACTTCTGCACTACATGGAAAGGCCTTAGGTGCTCCTGACTAGAAAATGTCCATTGTTCTCACTCAGTACCTTTAGGGTGCATATAAAGTTTACCTGAAGTTTTTCTCATCATTCCTGCAGGACATCACCTTGGCCACGGGCCAGGATTAGGGCACTACAAGATCTGTAATGACACAGCATTTATGCCTCTTTTTCCTGGAAAGGACAAGAACTTTGGGATAGAGAGACATGTTTATTTTATAGAACTAAAATTTTTCTTTTAAGTGGATTCATTGTAGCATTCCATTCAAAGAAGTCTAATAAATAATTTTCTAAGGAAAGGTTCAGAGTGGGAATTAAAATGAAACTCTTAAACTTGAAAGCAGAAAGAAGTTCATTTGACATAGTTAAAACTGAAGATCAGTGACCTACAGCACATAGTTCTGTTTTCTTAGATGTCTGTAAAACCTACTGCTATCTCACTTTTTGAGTTACTAGGATCCCATGTTAAATGCCCCTCTCTTCTTGAAAACACTTAGATCCCAGCTCAAATGTGCCTTCCTCAGGGAATACTCAAGGACCATCTAATCTAAAATAGTGCCCAGTAGTCCTTATCTTCTAGTCCTTCAGTCTCGATCACATCTTGATGTTATGGTCTTTATAAGCAGTTACCATTCTTTGAAATTACTTGTTCATGAACTGACTCTTCTTGTTCTAGAATGTGATGCACAATTAATTGCCTCATTATCTCAAGTTTGCAGAATTGTGCTTGACGTTAAATAGGCACTCAGTAAAGTAGTCGAATAACCAAATGATTCCTTACCATCTGTTAATACAGCAGTCCCCCTGTACCCACAGGGGGTACTTCCAAGACCATGAGTGGTTGCCTGCAACCCCAGATAGTACTGACTTTTTTCTATGCAAATATAGGAAAAAAGATAGTGACTCTCAATATCATGAATTCATACCACTTTATGAGAAAGAAAGACAGTATGTACGTAGGGTTTTGTTTTTCCTTGAGTAAAGGAAAAAGTACTGAATGATTGAAAGTCTTTTCCGTATAATGTATTTCAGGTAAGTCAGCTTTTGGAAACTAGTACAAATAGAAAATTTTTTCTATTGATGTATTCATTATTGAAAGATTTTATGGAGGGTGGCTTACTTTTCAAGAAACAACTATTAAAACTCCTTTGCTTTTAGTGACTACTATTCAAAATTAATAGATATTAAAAAAACAAAAACAATTAAGGTATTCTAAATATTCAAAGGGAAGAAACTGATTACAAGCTCTTTAAATTTCTTACATCATAAGGAAACTTATTTTGACTGTTAAGTATTGAAATTTTTGATAAAATGCCATTATATTTATATTTCTAGTAGTTACTTTATTCCACACTGTGACTTGCAATAATATAAACAATTTTTATAACTATATATTAACATTGTAGCTCATTAAGAATCCTAAGTTTTTATGTAACTAAATAGTCCTGTGTTTAAATATGTTTACTAATTTGGGGAAGGTTACTCAACTTGTTTTATTTTTCAGGCAATAATCAATAGCACTATCACCCCAAATATGACATTTACTAAAACATCTCAGAAGTTTGGCCAGTGGGCCGATAGCCGGGCAAACACTGTTTATGGACTGGGCTTCTCCTCTGAGCACCATCTTTCAAAAGTAAGTTAACTCATAAGTTCTAAGTGGAAATCTTTATCTTCTGGTCAGATGTCTTAAATATGTAGTAGCAAAGGGAGAGTATAAAATACAGGAGAAATTTGCTTAATATTCTCAGAACTGCAGTGACTTGAGAGCAAGAAGGGATCATTGGATTCTACTGTCAATTGGGAAACTCACTGCACACATTAAAAATAGTCACCATCTATTGAGAAGGATTTGCACAGTTAGCTGTGTATATGATACAAAATAAAAGGTAGGAATTATCACTTCAGAATGGACTTTGCTCAGGACTTTATACCCTTAGTTGGAGATGGTCTGCAAGATGGGTAGACACCAAGCTCTTCTAATTGTGAAAACTCCAGCTGATAGTGATACAGGTTTCAGCTTTATGACATGACAGTAGACTCATATAAATTACTATATTTAGGGAAAATTGTGCATTGTCTGGGTGAGAATTACTCTGAGCTCTCTGATGCAATACAGAGACTCAGTAGAGATTATGAGGAGTTCTTGGAACATACTGACCAAGTGAAATTAATATGGTCAGAAAAACCAATAAAATACGGAGCATCACCAGATTAAATATTAGAAGCAAAATAGTTGTCATGCCTGTAAACCAAAGCCACGCAGTGTTCGTGCCAGGAGCACCCTGAGTTCTGTGAACGTCATGTGGAAAGCGTATGTAAGGAAAAAAGGAAACAGTCCCGGGATATTCAGATGATGAGGGAGATGTGTATCACTCATTTTTCCTCTTTAAATTTTGTGCTCACTAGACCCAAAGATTTATATTGAAAACCTCTCAGAAGCGTTCAGTTAAAAGGATGATCCTACATTTGAAACACGTTATCTGTGTTTTGGTATACTGAGACTTTAAATTGTTCGAGTCATTCAGGTTCTTATAAATGAGTTCTTCTTAAAAGTATTAACACTTCTGTGAATATAATTAACTGAGGTTATTATTAGATCATTCAGTGGATGTCACATGGAAAGAATTTATAAAGTAAATATGAAATAATCTACTTTGTTTCCCTTTGTTTTAGCTGTAAACATTCCTTAACACTTGTTTTCAAATGTTTTTGAGTTTTTCATATAAATTGTAGTTTAAAGCTCAGTTTAGCAACTTTTAACTTTTGCCTTGGAAATTTTAAGTCATTCTGTGTAGGATAATTAAAACAAAGAAGTGTTACTTGCTTTGGTTTCTCTTACATCATCTAGTTCTCTAAATACATTTCTTGAACTGTGGTGAAGGTGTGAGTTTTACCTTCCGAGTGTTTCAGCGTGACAGGGGTCCACCTCTGGTCCGGCATTGTCCCTGCAGGAACCATTCCCTTAGGAGATGACACGTTTATTCTGATATTTTCACCATCACTCAGAACCCTTTTAGAACTTTTCTTTTGTAATCATCTATTCAAGACTGAAGTAAAAAAATTAAAACTATATTCCATTTTCTGAATTTATTGACAACCGGGTAGCTAAATTATGAATTAATATCTTAATTAAACTTACATTAAATGATTTTTCAGTCTAAGTAATTTTGACCGTAAATTACATTTTTTATTGTGTCTCCCGGGTTTCTGGGAAAGTAGCTAATATAATAAAGGAATAGTTTATTAAATTGTGTCAGTTATACTGTCTCTTCTCACTTGATCTTTTTTTCTCAAAATGGCTTTTATATTTCAAAATTTTTATTTTTCTTTCTTAAATTAGCATATGCTTTTGACCAGCCTCTTGGCAGTGAATCCTAGTATTTTACATGTGAACTGACCCTCAGGAAACAGCCCGTGGGGCCTCGGAGCGGCTGCTGGCTAGCTCACCTGTTCACTGGGTTCAGCTCCAAGAGCTGACCGTCTCTTCAGGATGTTTTGGTCCAAAGATGACAAAATCATGATTTATTTTCCAAGCTCTTTTGAAGACTAATGTTGATGCTTTAGAGACTGTAGAAGACCCAAAGGAGTTTATAATATTTTACATAAATGATGCAAACATGTAAATTTTCTGGCTTGTTTTTTCATCAAAATGCATAAATGAATGCAAAGCATTGGAAGGGGCGGAGAGGCTCTGAAGGCAATTTTAGACAAAGGCAACTTGAAAGTAAGGGAGAGTAGCAGTATTAGAAGAAATGTGTGGGGAAAACTACATCTGTGCTTATAGTGCTTGCTGAGTTGTATTTTGTTACCATGGAAACCTAAGCCTTTTAAAATTAGCAATAGCATAAGTGTTTATGAAGTTGAGAAGGGGTTTATACATTAACTACTTTGGAATGCTAAATTAGTTTAAGAAAAACTTTCTGTAATACAGATTATATGAAGAGAAGTTAATTATGGTTTTGTTTTTATTTTGTTTCCACTAATGTGGATAAGACCTTTTAAGACTTGTATTCAGATGTATTTCTGTAAGGAGATATTCTGTCTAATTAGAGAAGTATAGTGATACAGATTCAGTTCCCAGATCTACAAGTTGTAGGCGGGGGTGACAAGGTTTGAGGCAAGAAGGAAAGGCTGCAGTGACATTAGTTTTGACCCTTTTCCATCTCCCAAAGGCAGGTCAGAGTGCCAGCAGCCTTTCCTACCGAAGCCTTCCTTCCCAAGATGGAGTTTGAGGAGGGAACTATAATTTCATGTTTATTGCCAACTCTAATAGGTGTTTTATTTTTTTAATTGTTAATCTCAAAGAGCTTGTGGAGACACAATATTCCTTTCTGCTGCTGTGTATTAGCTGTTAGGGATCTTCAGAAATGAAGCTTTATTCATGCCAGTTAGTGATAACAGTAAATGTTGCTGCTGGTATTATTGAAAATAAAGTATCTTACATAATACAAGAGTTTGTATTATAGTAAAAGTTAAAAACATGCTCCAAATGAGCTCCAAATGAGATGCCTAGGAGTGGATTCTTAAGAGGCTAAATTTTCTTTGTGATAAACACACTCTGCCCATCTTTACTTAGCCCACTTCTAACCTGGACTCCCTCTACCTTGGTCTTAGCAAAGTGCACCTGAACAACCAAGGAGGAGCAGAGTGGGCTAGCTGACACCAGACTCTAACTCGGTTGTATTGGGGTGTTTTTGAATGAGATTTGTCACAGTACTTTACAGTGTACAAATGTTTTGGTGTTTGGTTCCTTTTTTGCCACTTTCATATTTCACTTGTAATTGATCTAAGGGGGTAGATTGCTTTGTACAGGAGTCAGTTATTGAGAAAATAAAAGGAAACTAAGGTAAAAGCAAGTATTGCGACTTATTTTTGTTTGGTTAATGTATATAGTTTTTATACATTCAGTTTGCAGAAAAGTTTCAGGAATTTAAAGAAGCTGCTCGACTCGCAAAGGAGAAATCACAAGAAAAGATGGAACTTACCAGTACACCGTCACAGGTGGGTGTTAATTTCTGTTCTTATTTATGAGCCTTGTTTATTTTGGATGATGTTCTTTATGCCAGAGTTAAGCAAATTGTGGCAAAATTAAGGTAATTGTCAAAGTGGACATAGAAAATATACTGTCGAGTTCATCTGTACCAGTGGAGAAAAAGTTTTTTGTCCTATATGCCAGTGTCTACTAGAATCTGGGTTGGGGGGAGGGGTTACCTTAGCAATTAGAACTCAGATTTTTTAAAATGTGCATACAACTTAAAAGCAATTGTACGGTATAGAGCATAGGTTGGCCTGTTGTGTTATGTTCGGTGTTCTGTGATGGTCACTGAGGTACAGCTACTAGAGGAGAGGCTCAGGGAAACAGGAGCTTACGATACTCGCAGGTTCTAGATACAGGAGGCCCACAGGGAAGGCTCAGCATGGTCAGGAGGCAGAAAGCAGGGACCCAGGAAAGCCGAGGATGGAGCCTATACCGGGGTTTCCATGGGAATGGCAGGGCAGGGTGCCAGTGTAGGACTTGCTAGTTCAAATAAGTTCTGTGGGCTGTAAATTCTCGGGTAGTGCCTAGTGCTTGGTACCAAGCTCTGGGATGATTGAGGCAGGGGAGTGTTGCCTCCTGGGGTGCATGGGATGTGTAGCTCTGGATTCATCAGTTTTACACCAAAGGCAAGTTCCTACTTTAGCCCCTTGCCATCTCTAAAAATTCGCTAGGCAAAAAAGTTTTTTAAGATGTCAAAGCACCATTATAAAGAGTATATAAAAATTTAACAGTACAGTTTGTTCTACTTGATTTTAAAGTGTATTTAAATATGGTAGTTGGGACATCTTAATGCTCAGCATTAAGACCAAAAGTTATAGGTTTTATGCAAGTATCACTTTTTTTCTTGATAAATGAGTTAATAATACCTATTAGTTGTTCATCATAATCTTTTTCCAGTTGGAAATTAATTACATCTCTAACTAAAGTTCATTAAATAGTTATATTTCAGTACTTTTACAAAGGTGTTATTGTACAAAGTGTGATTCATAAAGAGTGCCAATTATTTCTTCTTTTTAGTATCTGGCTTTTCTAAAGTTAACTTTTAATTGTCTTCTTAAGAGTAGAGTTCAGGTTTGTTCTGAGTTTTTCTCTATAGTAGTTGTTTTCAAAGTTTACTCAGGTTAGAAGATCAGATGTAACAAGTGTTTTTCTGGACTGTCAGAAGTAGCAGATTTGCATAAAACTTTCTTCAGGAACTAAATAGGAATTGCCTTGGAACTTAGTGACTAGCCAAGTGATTGCAACATTTTAGAAAACTTCTCTCTTCACTTTGCTCCCCACCCTGGCACAAAATTTTATTTGGCAAACTCTAGAGTTATAAAGAGTTTTGGGGTTTCGTATTATTTTTTAAGGGAAAGGAGAGCTTTGTTAACTATGCTTGAAGTACATATTTCCTCACAGGCTAAGGATGTACTCTGGGTCGAAGCTTCATTATACCTCCTCTGTACTAACAGTGACCTGGACTAACATGAATGATCATTCTGAAATTTTGCTTGACTCTGTATTCCCCAAGTGCTGTAATGGTACGGAGACATTTTAACCATGGAATCCTGTTTAAAATTTCGTGCCAGTACACGGTGGAAACTTCACTCGCAGTTCTGCAGGTGAATGGTTGGCTGTAGTGATAGGAGGGTGCCGCAGCACACTCAGCAAGAGAATACTCACAGGACTCCAGCAACAGTGTAATGGGTTACACATGGCCCTTGTACTTCGCTTCCGTTTCTCTAACCATAACTTGTTTTTGTTTAATTGGTCATGAGATATTACAGGTTGCTAAGATACCTGCTCCACTTTGGTGGAAGGAATGTCTTTCTACCTTTATTTCCTTCACAGGGATGTATCAAAGATGTTTTTATTTGGATAATGCTATGAAATGTAAGGAATAAAGACATATTATAAGTTCATCAGTTTTTGAAAGCCAAAATATGCTTACTTTAATTTATCTTTTCCAAACATTTGAGCTCTGTTAATTTAGTGCACAGAAGCCAGAGAAATAGTTGGGGGAGCCTTTTTTTTCATTTCTTTTCTCCCCTCTTTGTGCAAGTCCATTGTGGATGTCGTCAGTATTTGTTTTAGTTTGAAATGTTTGAGCACTGGCCACTCCTATTCAGCTAGACAACAGAACTTGGTTCTCACGGGTTTAACCCAGTCACTAAATTGGTGGTCTGCCTGGAGAATAGAATATTACTTAGGAATTCAGCAACAGGATCAGGAGGTTAAATGGGACCATCGGTAACAGTACACACTTGGCTGGACATAGCTTTTGTTTTTATTTGAGGAGGGACAGCAAACTGGGTGAGAGTACAGGTTTTCAAGTCTGACAGGCTTAGACATACATTCTTCTTCTGTCACTGTGATCTGGTGAAAATGGCTTATACACCTGTAATAGGAGTATTACATTGCTTGCCTTATAGGATGGTTGGGAGGAATAAGTATGATAGTGACAATGTCATTATGACAAATGACATTATGACGGTGTCATATGATAATGGCAGTAGAGTCTGGCTTTCACTCTGAGATCTGCCCATACTACTTTCCTGACTTAAGCAAGTTACTATTTTTTTTAAATCTATAAAATGGGTTATTGTGAGAATTAAATGAGGATTACAAAGTGCTTAGCAGATAGTAAATGTTTGATAAATGTTAGCAGCTGCCGTAGGGAAGAAGCAGTCAGTCAGGCCCCCTCGCCCGGATGTCTGGGCAGCTGTGGCTTGGCAGAGTGCACATGGCCTTGAGTAGGGCCCACATGCGTAAAATGAAGCTGTTATATAACCTGAAGGTCAGTATTGGCATCTGCTGGCTTTGTGTGCACTTAGTATATAAGGGAGTCGGGACTTCTCCTCAGGGGACGCCAGTGCAACGTGTGGCTTGTGGCGTGTGTGGATTGCCCCACCCCAGAATAAAGGCAGGTCAGACATCCTGGCGGCTCTGCGCGTTTTCTTCTGTCTGCCCGAATCCCGTGCAAACCTGCCTGGCCTTGGATGGTCATTTAGAAAAACACAGATTCTTTAATTGAATAAAGCCTCAGGATCCCCTAGAAGACTTGTCAAAACAAAAATTGCTGATTCCCACCCCCGAATTTCTTTTTTTTTTTTAAAGATTTTATTTATTTATCTTTAGAGGGGAAGGAGAGAGGGAGAGAAGCATCAATGTATGGTTGCCTCTAGTGCATCCCCTGCTGGGAACTGGCCTGTAGGGAACTGGCCTGCAACCCAGGCATGTGCCCTGACTGGGAATTGAACTGCGATCCTCTGGTTTGCAGTCCTCTGCTCAATCCACTGAGCTACACCAGCCAGGGCCCACCCCCAAATTTCTGATTCTGTAAGGCTGAGATGGGGCCCAAGAATTTGCATTTCTGACAAGTTTCCTGGAGATGCTGATGCTCTTGATCTGAGAAGCAGTGCTAAAGACAGACCATTCCACTGCTCTGAAGGTCTGTGACGAAAGGAGTCTGGTGTTGAGAGCAAAGGTATCTAGTTCCCCACTCTTAGACTCCTGAGCTAAGGTTGTACACTTGACATAAATGCGCGATTGTGTCAGATAATCTCAACATTGCGTCTTTAGGAATAAGTTGAATCACATATTAATTGTTAGTTTCTTTCATGTCCCTCTTTAAATCATAAACATGAATTTAGAACATTTTCTCTGTCGAAGATCTTGTATCCATGAAAACCTTTTAAACAATTTTATATAAAATCAAGACTTTGATTGGCTTTACTCCTGAAATTTTGTATATAGTTCACAGTAAAAGTACTGCATTTTAGTTTATTTGTTAGGCAGTTCTTTCAGAATATGCACTGAAGATGAAAGGGCTGTATCCACATTTTTCTTCATTGGAGTTTAGGGGAAAAAATGTAGCTGTCAGTTGTCTAAGACTTTTAAATAGAGTCAAGGGTTTACTCAATAGGTTGTCTACAGCCAAACAGAAGCTATGGGGTTTTTCCCATTAAAATTGTCATGTTGGATAGCATTAAATATATTGCAGTTGCTCTTCTGATTTATATTTTAATAACCTAATATTTTCCTCAAGCTTTTTAAGACTTTATAGAGAAAGTGAAATGTGTGTGTGTGTGTGTAAAGAAGGAACAAAGTTTCTTTAGATTTATTATAAATACCAGATTTTTAAATGTTTATTTTAATGATAAATTGTTTTTATCCAAATGAGGCACTAGTGTATTTTTACTGACTGTTAGGATCCCTGTGACCACCTGTTCGATCTTGGGGAAGCCAGTCAGCCTGTCTGGGTTGCAGGTCTCAAACCCACAGTTACGGTCAGAGGTTTGAACTGTGTGACCTCTTAGGACACTGCGAGTTCCATAACTCTCAAGTGTGGCTGATTTTCTTCAACAAGGGCACCACTTGATGTAAATGAATTTTTTGAAAGGTGGTCTAGAGTAGCCAAGTAGTACTGCTTTGAGCTGAATTATTTATGTATCTATCCTACAAATGTGCCATTAGAATTGGGGAATGTCTATAAGTTAATAGACTTTCTCAGTATCATATAACAGATGTGGTTTTACTGAATCAGATACCTCAATAACAACCTTTACACCCTCAGGAAAGCTTCACTAGAATTCACTGGATGTTGTTGCTTGCCGTCCAAAGTGAGGACAGTAGTCTTAAGTGTCTCTCATCCTGTTACTTACCTAAGAGTACTGTTTATTCATTTCTCTACTGAGTTTACCTGCTAGGCATTGGCAGTGAGCCTAGAGAGGAGGGACTAGACATAGCAGTGGGGAAGTTAACTGAATTTGGAGAAAATGTGGGAATTGAGGGAGCAGTGAGGGTGAGGGAGGGTGTGTTAAAGTAGGAGTTAGATGTTTTTACACTTCTATTCTTAGTTTGTAGCATGGACTTCCAAAGAGGATTCCTACTTCAGACATTAAATTTGTGTGCTAATGGGCATCCAGGTAGAGATGTCCTGTGGGTAGTTATAAAGTTGGAATTGGAACTAAGTCTCAAG